CTTTATGGCAAATTGTAAAATGAAATCGTACTATTTAAAAATTTTATTGTTACTTATAAGAGTTGTTTTAAATCGCAAATATATTTACACTGAATTTTAATATTTTAGCATTTTAAAGTCTAATAGTTAACCAATCGTGCAGTGAACTTTTGCGAAAGTAAACAACTTGTGTTTCGCGTGCTCATATGACCTGAGCAGTTGCGAGTGCCGTAAAACCCTATACTACTACTACTAACCTCCAGGCCATGAGAACCCCCAAGGAGTCTTTGTTTGTTTTGTTATATGCTGTTAATGTTATGATTTATTTTCAGGAGCACAGAACTATGATGTCATCATCATTGCCACCTACAGAACTGCCTGCAAGCTCAGATTTATACAGAAACAGACGCATTGTAAGTCTTCTTACCTGCAATGATACATGTGTGGTATGGCTGTGGAATCGCACGCTCATCTATTTTGGGCATTTAGGGTTCTTAATAGCATCCTAAAGCTTGTTAATTCGTCTTGTTTGATGAAAAAAGTAGAGATATTTGTGGTTGAAGGAGATGGAGGTTGCTTTGTGTCAGAGGAAAAATTAGTGAAAAAATGGCTGCCCAAGTTTGGAGACTTCCAAAGCTTGAAAGTCCTTGAAAATTGAAAAGTTACATTTTGTGTGCCTGTGATCAATATTCTTCATTAAAATTCACAATGAAAAGTGTGTTTGAATAGACATAAAAAGTGTTGAGCCAAAAAACAAAAATTCGTTAAAAATTTCCAAACCTGTGAAAAAATTAGTTTCTTTGATTTCATAATTTTGATGAGGCTTATGGAGACAATTACACTCTAAGCCTTATATAGTATGTTCATAAATGTTTCAACACTTCATTACAATACATATATAAGAAATTTAGGCTTTGCACAGTAGGCCTATAGCAATCTCTACACTTTAGGACTATTCAACTGATACATCTTTCAGAAAATTGCCAAACTAATTTGTCCAATAAATTATTTATAGTGGAAAAAATAAAAACAGTTCAGCAGCAACCTCCCCTTTAGGTAATTTTTATTGATCAGTTATACAGCCCTTTATCTGAGTGATCTGGACGACACAACAAATGGGCACCTGGGCGCCAAATTAAAGTTCACCACAGAACATGGCTACTCATTGCTACAAACAAAAGATTGTTTTCTCAATGATACTGACACATGTGCAGCTGTATTAATCATGGTTGGGTTTTTTGGTACTGCGAACATGTAAAAACTCTTTATATTATAAGAAATATTGGAGAAGAAAGCAAAGAATTGAATTTCACAATTATTTTTAATTTTGTGTTTTTTAAAAAGCATTACTGAGAAGGAGTAATCAATTAACAAGACTCCAATTAGGTACTTAGATGCATTTTTATAATGTTCAGGGTGCACATATGCATCACTCAAAATTTGGTTAAAATTGAAAAGGTGTTTGCTGAGAAATCATGCTTGAAATGTGGCGATGATTAAGTAAATGGACATACTTATACAGAGACAAATTGTAAATCTTGATACCCTAAAACTTTAAGCTTGTTGCTGATACATGTAGTCTCATTGTGGGGTTAAGCCTATCATTATAGCGTAGTTCCATTTTTAGCAAGGAATGAAATTTCAAAGACGAATATTTGTCATGAACATCTATGCACCCTTTCCCTTGTTCTTCCTTTAAATACTTCATGTTATAATTGAGACCCCTTTTGTATTACAGTGTGTCAGATCGACATTTGGAACATGATCGAAGCATTCCGAGAAAACTCACTTCACACGCTGGACCCCAACACTGAGATCAGCATGGCGCGACTGGAGGCGGTGTTACACACTGCTTTCTCTCAACTGAACAAGCGTCTGCCCCAGACACAGCTGGTGCATGTGGAAAAGTGTGTCAGCCTCACCATGAATTGGCTCATGTCGGCTTACGATAGGTGCACAAAAATTGTAGTGCTTATTTATTTCATAATTAGAGCGATGTGTTCTTCAAAGGTTTTTGAAATTTTGCTGTTTCAGAAATGGTGGCTTAGTAGTTGTCCCCAAAATTGGAAAGAGGGAGAGGATTTATGGCAAAATTTAAAAAATGTGTTACTCAAAACAAGAGGTAAACCTGTATAGCGTTTTGTGGTTAACTTTCTATTGGTGCATTTCTGTTTCCTTGCTCTCCTATCTGTTACAATGTTATTGAGTGCTGCTCAGTTTATCATGTACGAGGGGGAGGGGGGTAAAAAAGTATTGCATGTTCCTTCATAACTTAGGCCTAAAGAAAAAAAGAAAGCAGTTGCAACTATCATACCTCAAATTGAAGGGAAGCATCTGAGGATCTGATTTCTGTATCTCAACATTGTCTCCATCTCATACAATAGGCTTAGCCACTGTTTACGTTTTAGTAAGAATAGAGCTAGTTGGTCTTTTAGCAAATTCTTCACTGCAGTCTTAATTTCTTCATAGTTTCCGGGGTGTTGAGCTCTCAAAGCTTCTTTACCGGGATTGAAAAAGTGAAAGTCTGAACGTGTCAAATCAGGAGAATAAGCTGAGTCTGGCAGTGTTTTCCATGCTGGGCATTTTCATGGTGAAAAGCACTCTTTCCATTAGGCCAGGGCAAGATCGACGACAAAAAGACTCGAGGCCTCGATCCCAAAACTGAAAAAAGATCGAGGAATCGAGTCCGATTTTCGACTTTGGAAGCTGCTTCAAGTGGGCTGTTTAGAGGCCATGACTTGAACACTGCTAAAAATAGCTCTTAAGATCGAGACCCCGAGTCTTGAACACTGCTAAAAATAGCTCTTAAGATCGAGACCTCGAGTCTTGAACACTGCTAAAAATAGCTCTTAAGATCGAGACCTCGAGTCTCG